GCTTCCGGAGTTCAGAGCTGGGCTGCGGCAGGCGGGGAACCTTGGCTTCCTCCATCACTGGAGCAAGCAAGCCTCCTGCTCGCTTCAGCTGCGTGGCTGCCAGCCGCCATCTTTGTTGGCAGTTAATTTGTGTATTAATTTGTGTATCACTGATTAGCCAATGGGAAGCATAGCAGAGATACAGTTAATTACTCTTTTTGTCGTTTATTAGATAGGATAGGATTTGCTCTGGGGAATGCTTGGCCTTTATAGGCCCATCTCTTCATCAGTGTTCCTCTCACCTTCTGCTATGTCATATGCAAAATTACAATCACTCCTTTTTTCTTTTTTTTGGCTAATCCTCCTGGGAGGATATTGTTTTCCATTGATTTTTAGAGAGGAAGGAGGGAGGGAGGGGAGAGAGAGAGATGTGAGAGAAACATATTGATTGGTTGCCTTCCACATGCACCCCGACCTGGGTGGGGGGTCGAACCTGCAACCCAAGTACATGCCCTTGACTGGGAATTGACCCCTCAACCCTCTGGTGTGCAGGCAGGTGCTCTAACCACTGAGAGCAATGCTGGCCAGGGGCAATCACCTGATTCTTAAATGTTCTTTAATGATAAAGCCAAGAACATGCTCAAGTATTCCTGAGCTAGACTCTGGTGGGGGGTGGGGGTGTAGGAAGATAAATTAGGTATAACAGCTGCCCACAGTCTAGCTCTATCTTCTTGAAACTATTCATGTGTATGTTTTTAACTTGAAAATGTAAATGGGAATCTGAGAAAAAGTCTACTTAACCTTTCAGACTTGGACATTCCTTTGCTGCATTGTTTAGAATTACAGAGAAGAATGGAGACTTGCTGTGACATTGCAGGGACTCTGTGTCCCACATTCTGGCCAAGAAACAAAATTGTGCTCCAAAGATAATGATTTCAGGTGAGTATTTAGTATTTGATAAGTATTCTACTTATCAAACTAATGGAAACTTTTAAGTAGAATATGTTTCACACTGAAAATGTGGGCTTAAATAACCAGTTTCAAAGGTAGAATGACGTTAAAATGGCCATTGGACTATGGAGCCACACTTAAAAATAATGCCATACCACTTTGAAACTATCTGAAGACAAGTAGCAGGAATATATTATGGTATTTTGGACCCAGAAACTAGTTTCAGGAATTAAAAATTTTACAGGCAGTCAAGAGATTTTAGAATTATTTTCAATGATGTTCACTAGAAAATGAAGGTATTCAGAGCCACAACTATTGATGATTAAGCTGGAAAATTTCATGCCCATTGTAAGTACATGATTTAAGGAGAAAACAAGTGGGTAAGAAATATGTAATCAACCTATGACATCAAATGAAAATTTTAGAACAAACGTTCATAATGTGCTATTTTTGCAATTGCCTAACCCTTCTAAGGGATTTCAAACCCAGCCCCTTGTGGCTTCAAGGGTTGCCTGTCTTGTTCATGGAAACTTGTTGTACAATCGGGAATAAGCCTGATTTTACTTTAAAAAATTATTGTGAACTAGAATATAAACAAGGCTTAATGGGGAATTTTAGATCTCAAAGAAAAAGCTGAGAAATTTGGCTCCAAAAAATGGAACAGATTGAAACAATTTTTCCAAAGGAATATGAGACAGTAAAGGAAATTGATTCAGAAGAAGACAACTAGTATCATTTTGAAAAGCTAGCTATGAAGCACAAGGTGTGCGGTTTCTTTTTTAAAAATATATATTTCTTTATTGATTTCAGACAGGAAGGAAGAGGGAGAGAGAGATAGAAACATCAATGATGAGAATCATTGATCGGCTGCCTTCTGTACACCCCCCACTGGGGATCGAGCCCGCAACCCAGGTATGTGCCCTTGGCTGGAATCGAACCTGGGACTCTTCAGTCCGAAGGCCGACACTCTATCCACTGAGCCAAACCGGCTAGGGCAGCGGTTCTCAAACTGTGGGTCGCAACCCCTTTGACGGTCAAACGACCCTTTCACAGGGGTCACCTAAGACCATCCTGCATATCAGATATTTACATTACGATTCATAACAGTAGCAACATTACAGTTATGAAGTAGCAACAAAAATAATTACATGGTTGGGTCACAACATGAGGAGCTGTATTTAAAGGGCCAGAAGGTTGAGAACCACTGGGCTAGAGCAAGGTATGCAGTTTCTGTTATAATGACTGAGTGTGCTGCTGTCATGCTAAAACATGTACCAGGCTGATAAAAGTATTTCCCTGGCTTTTAAACTGTTGGTGACACTGACTTATACTGAGTTACAGGTGAAAGAGATTTTCTCCTGTAAAAAGTGTATCAGAACCAGTGAGAGAAACAGACCAACCAAAGGGCATCTGGAGTTTTATGCTTGGGAAAAACATATATTGTAAAATTTGAAACCCCTCCTATGATTAAGGTGCTAGGATAAAAAAGCAAAACCTTAAAGAAGTTAGCAATTTAGTATACTTCCTAGATTCCATTTACCAAAGAGAAATTTTGCTAAACTAACTTACAGTAGGCAACCATGGTAGCTAAGTAGATGAAGTATTAAATCTGTGTTTCCCATGACTGGATTGCCTTATTTAAAAAAAAAACAACCCACACAAGAAAACAAAAAACAACAACCACACACACCCAGCCCAGCTGGCAAGGTTCAGTGATTGAGTGTCGACCCATAAACCAGGAGGTCTTGGTTTGATTCTTGGTCAGGGCATATGCCTGGGTTTGGGCTCAATCCCCACTAGGGGGCATGCAGGAGGCTTTCTCTCTTATCGATGTTTCTGTCTCCCTCTTCTCCCTCTCCCTACCTCTCTCTCTAAAAATTAATAAACACATATTTTCAAAACACACACAGGCACAGGTAATTCTGAAATGGATGCTTTTCTCGGTCAGTTAATTTATTGGTACCTTCAAATGATTAATAATGAGAGGCTCTATGGATGGGGAGGCCATTGAGTTTATCCAAATCAAGGGTTACTATCTCAGATGTCTGCGGGAATAAGGCAGGTAAGCAATTTGTGAAGCATACAGAAGAAGGAATGGTAGGGAGCGTGACAAACTAGGAGAGAAAAAAGGAGCAGCCATCACCTGGTTCCAACCGATTGTTGCCGTGTGGGAATGGAAGTCCAGGGGTGACATATTTGATTATTGGAAAAAACACACTTAGAAATCCAGCTCTTCATATACAATATCCAGATTTTTATGTGAAATTTCCTGAAGGATCAATGCTGGCAACCAGTTATTTTATTTGTAATAATTATTACAGATGCAATACACATGTATTGTATAAAAATAGAAAATGTAGACTAACAGCAATAAAACATTTTCACCAGAGATCACCTTAGGGCATATCCTTTCAGATCTTTTTTAAAATAAATATATAGACATATTATAAACAAAATATGATTATTCTGTATATATGGTTTTGGAACTGGCATTTTGTTAATGATTTTGAACTTTTCATTTTTGTAAATTTGCACCTTATCTAATCCCATCCATACTAAAAATTTCCCAATTGACCCCAGTTATCTTTTTTTTCTATATACTTTTATTGGTTTGAGGGAGAGAGATAGATAGAAACATCAATGATGAGAATCATTGATAGGCTGCCTCCTGCATGTCCCCTGCTGGGGATCAAGCCCGCAACCCAGGCATATGCCCTTGGCCAGAATCTAACCTGGGACCCTTCAGTCCGCAGGCCAACGCTCTATCTACTGAGCCAAACCGGCTAGGGCGACCCTACTTACCTTTTATAGCAACTTGTTTAAACCAATAGGGAATCCAGGACCATGCATTATGTTGTTATCATAAACCTTAAGTATCTTTAAGGTACTTACCTAGTAGTTTTTTAAAAAATATATTTTATTGATTCTTTTTACAGAGAGGAAGGGAGATAGTTAGAAACATCAATGAGAGAGAAACATCGATCAGCTGCTTCCTGCACATCTCCCACAGGGGATGTGCCCGCACCCAAGGCACATGCCCCTGACCGGAATCAAACGTGGGATCTTTCAGTCCGCAGGCCAACACTCTATCCATTGAGCCAAACTGGTTTCGGCTTACCTAGTAGTTTTGACTCTCATACAGCCCGGCCAGAGTGGCTCAGTGTTTGAGCATCAACACATGAACCAGGAGGTTGCAGTTCGATTCCTAGTCAGGGCATATGGATGGACTGCGGGCTTGTTCCCCTGTGTGGGGCATGCAGGAGGGAGCCAATCGGTGATTCTCTC